CAAGGCTATCATTCAAAATAGAAGATCAAATAAAGAACTTCCCAGACAAAAAAAAAGGCTAAGTGAATACATTAGCACCACACCAGCACTGCAAGAAATGTTAAAAGGACTGCTGTAATTAGCGGAAGAAATGGGAAGAAAAATAAAACCACACTAAACAAAAATGGCAATAAATAAGTACATATCTATAATCACCTTAAATGTAAATTGATTGAATGCTCCTATAAAAAGACACAGAGTAGCTGATTGGATAAGAAAGCATGACTCATCTATATGTTGTTTGCAATAGACCCACCTCACAACAAGACTCACATAGATTGAAAGTGAAGGGATAGAAAAAAATCTTCCAAAAAAACAGAAAGCAAAAAAAAAAAAAAGCTGGGGTAGCAATACTCATATCTGATAAAATAGATTTCAAAATGAAGACCATAACTAGAGACAAAGAAGACCACTACATAATATTGAAAGGATCTATCCAACAGGAAGATATAACCTCGATAAACATATATGCACCCAATATAGGAGCACCAACATATATTAAAAATCTTCTGGAGGACTTCAAAGGAGAAATCGACAGCAAAACAATCATAGCAGGGGACTTCAACACCCCGCTGATATCACTGGATAGATCCTCTAGACAAAAAATTAGCAAGGAAACAGAGACTCTAAATGAAGCACTAGACCAAATGGATTTAATAGATATCTACAGAGAATTACACCCCAAAACCATAGAATTCACATTCTTCTCAAGTGCACATGGGACATTCTCAAAGATAGACCACATGTTAGGGCACAAACTAAGTCTCAACAAGTTCAAGAAGACTGAAATCATATCAAGCATCTTCTCAGATCACAATGGCATGAAACTAAAAATCAATTGCAAGAACATACAAAGATATTTGAACATATGGAAGCTAAATAGCGTGTTATTAAACAATGAATGGGTCACCGAGATCAAGGAAGAAATCAAAAACTTCATGGAAACCAATGAAAATGAAGACACAACAACACAAAATCTATGAGATACAGCGAAAGCAGTTCTGACAGGGAAGTTCATAGCACTACAGGCCTACCTCAGAAAACAAGAAAAATCTCTAATAGACTATCTAACTTCACAACTTAAAAAACTAGAGAGCAAACAAAAAGAAAACCCCAGAGCAAGTAGAAAGAAGGAAATAGTACATATAAGAGCAGAAATAAACGACATAGAGACCAAAAAAACAATTCAAAGGATCAATGAAACAAAGACCTGGTTTTTCAAAAAGATAAACAAGATTGATACACCCTTAGCTAGACTCACCAAGAAACAAAAAGAGAGAACCTAAATACACAAAATCAGAAATGAAAGAGGAGAAGTAACAACTGACACCACAGAAATACAAAAGATCATTAACAACTACTATGAACAATTATATGGCAACAAATTTGACGATCTAAGTGAAATGGACAAATTTCTAGAAACACATAGTCACCAAAAACTGGACCAGGAACAGATAGAAAACTTGAATAGACCAATAACAACAGAAGAAATTGAAGAGGTAATCAAGACTCTCCCAGCAAACAAAATCCCAGGCCCGGATGGCTTCATGGGGGAGTATTACCAAACATTCAAAGAAGAACTAATACCCATTCTCCTCAAACTATTTCAAAAAATTCAAGAAGAAGGAAGACTTCCAAACTCGTTTTATGAAGCCAGCATAATTCTAATTCCAAAACCAGAAAACAACACTACAAAGAAAGAAAACTGCAGGCCAATATCCCTGATGAACATAAATGCCAAAATCCTGAACAAAACACTAGCAAATCGACTCCAGCAATACACCAAAAAAATTATCCACCATGACCAAGTGGGATTCATCCCAGGAATGCAAGGCTGGTACAATATTCGCAAATCAATAAACGTGATACACCGCATAAATAAAATGAAGAATAAAAACCACTTGATCATATCAATAGATGCCGAAAAAGCCTTCGACAAAATCCAGCATCCATTTTTGATAAAAACGCTCAGCAATGTGGGAATAGAGGGATCATATCTAGACATAATAAAGGCCATATATGAAAGACCTATAGCCAACATCATACTCAATGGACAAAAACTAAAAGCATTTCCCTTAAGAACAGGAACAAGGCAAGGATGCCCACTTTCGCTACTCTTATTTAACATAGTACTGGAAGTCTTAGCTACAGCAATCAGACAGGAAGAAAAAATAAAAGGGATCCAAATTGGAAAGGAGGAAGTGAAACTTTCATTATTTGCAGATGACATGATACTATACATGGAAAACCCCAAAGACTCCATAAAAAATTTACTAGACTTAATAAATGAATTTGGCAAAGTAGCAGGATACCAAATTAACGTCAAGAAATCGATGGCATTCTTATACACCAATGATGAACTCACAGAAAGAGAAACTAAGAAAACAATCCCATTTACCATTGTGGCAAAAAAATTAAGATACCTCAGAATAAACTTAACCAAAGAAATAAAGGACCTATTTGCTGAAAACTACAGGTCATTGAAAAAAGAAAAAGAGGAAGATATAAAAAAGTGGAAGCACATACCCTGTTCATCGATTGGAAGAATTAACATCATTAAAATGTCCATATTACCCAAAGCAATCTATAAATTCAATGCAATCCCCATCAACATACCAACGGCATATTTCACAGAGTTAGAACAAGTACTTCAAAAGTTCATATGGAACCAAAAAAGACCTCCAATAGCCACAGCAATCTTGAAAAGAAAGAACAAAATTGGAGGGATCACATTACCAGATTTCAGGTTATACAATAAAGCCACCGTAATCAAAACAGCCTGGTACTGGCACAACAACAGGCATATAGACCAGTGGAACAGAACAGAGAACCCAGAAATGGACCCAAGGCAATATGTTCAATTAATATTTGACAAAGGTGGCAAGAGCATACAGTGGAGTAAAGACGGCCTCTTTAATAAATGGTGTTGCAAAAATTGGACAGCTACATGCAGAAAAATGAAACTAGACCATCAACTTATACCCTACACAAGAATAAATTCAAAATGGATAAAAGACTTAAATGTGACTCATGAATCCATAAAAATCCTAGAAGAAACTGTAGGCAACAAAATTTCAGACATCATACGCAGTAGAATTTTCACTGATACATCACCTAAGGCAATAGAAACAAAGGAGAATATGAACACATGGGACTACATCAAACTCAAAAGCTTCTGCACAGAGGAAGATACAATCATCAAAACGAAAAGGATACCCACTGTGTGGTAGAGCATATTTGCCAATGATACATCAGATAAGGGGTTAATTTCCAATATATATAGAGTGCTCATACAACTCCACAAAAGGAAGACAAAGAACCCAATTAAAAAATGGGCAGAGGAACTAAATAGACACCTCTCCAAACAGGACACACAAATGGCTAAGAGACATATGAAGAAATGCTCATCATTACTAATCATCAGAGAGATGCAAATCAAAACAACAATGCGGTATCACCTCACACCTGTCAGAATGGCCGCCATCAACAAATCATCAAACAACAAGTGTTGGCAAGGGTGTGGAGAAAAGGGGACTCTAGTACACTGCTGGTGGGAATGCAGACTGGTGAAGCCACTATGGAAAACAATATGGTGTTACCTCAAAAACTTAAAAATTGAACTTCCATTTGACCCAGTGATCACACTTCTAGGAATATACCCTAAGAAGCCTGAAACACCAATCAGAAAGAAAATATGTACCCCCATGTTTGTAGCAGCGCTGTTTACAATAGCTAAGATCTGGAAACAGCCCAAGTGTCCATCAGTAGACGAATGGATAACAAAGCTGTGGTACATATACACAATGGAGTACTACGCAGCTGTAAAAAAGAAATATCTCTTATCCTTTGAGACTACATGGAGGGACCTGGAAAGTATTATCCTAAGAGAAACAAGCCAAACAGAGAAAGACAAGTATCATATGATCTCACTTATTTGTGGACTATAATGAACATAACAGTCTGAGGAATGGGGTAGTCCCAGAGACGTGGAAGTGGGGTACAGACTGACAATCCCCAGAAGAGGGGGTTAACCACAGAACTTAAATGCATGTATGCATGAACAGTGGACATGGAGAACAAACTGGGGACTGGGCAGGGAGGGAGAGGGAGGGGAGAATCAGTGGGGGAAAAAGGAGAAACATCTGTAACAAAAATTAATAAAAAAAAAAAGAAAAAGAAACTTAAAATTGTACAAACTAATGCTAATGTCACATAATCCAGTTATGTCCTCAGGACTGAGCTTAGTGCCCAAGGTGACACTCATGATAAGTAATTGTTTTTAAAACAAATAAATGAAACAACAAATCAAACACAAAAAGAATATATAGTAATTATTTTCCTGTGTCATTCATGTATACAATTTTTACTTTATCTTAGAAAATATTCTCACATTGATGTTCCCTAATATTAAACCTGATGGACCTGATCTGATCTTTTCTCTTTTAAACAATTAACATAAAAATTAACTGGGCCTTGGCTGGTTTGGCTCAGCAGTTGGAGCGTCAGTCTGTGGACCAGAGAGTCTTGGGTGGTTCCCGCTAAGGGCACATACAAAAAAACAAAAAACAAAAAACAAAAAATTAACTGGAAGGTTTCTTCAAAATACATATTTTCTCACCCCCTACCTCATTCTACCATTTAGAATCAAATCTATTTGTAGGACATGTAATTGCTTTGTACTGGGCCAAAAAACAACAGTCTCTGTATTTTGAAGGCTGTGAAAAAAATTATCATAAAGTCACTATTTACTGACTCTTTATGAGATAGTAATCACTAACTTGGTTTCTGTTTCAGATGCTCTGTGTCAAACATTTTGCATAATGACTCAAGTCAAGAAGGAAGTTAGATATGGAGGTTGTATCTTTTCTTCCCAATGACTAGATAATGCAAACTTTCAGCATCTTGGGTGGTTTTCATGCCTAGTTATTAAAAGCCTTCAAGAGAAAATTTGAGAAACTAACATATAAATGTCTTTGATGAGCCTGATGTGATTTCAAGACATTTTTTACCCGGTCATGGATCTCATCGCAGTTTGAAGGTGAACACCAATCAGAATGGAATCTGTGGGCATAGAAAACAAAGGTGACTGTAGCCAGAGGGTGAGAAAAAGAAATCTTTCTAAATGCCAGACACAGAAAGTCATTTTTTCTTACCCCTATGTGATAATATATAAAGATCAGAACCATATTTTTCTTCTTTCAAACATGGATAAGAGGCAGATATAAAATCAGGTACTAATTCTCAGCTGTAGTATTAAGTACTTACAATACGTTCAATAAATAATCTTAATAAACTTTAACACGCTTTTGGAATAACAAACCCATGTATCTGACCATTTTAATAATTTCCATACATAAGTCTTTGGAGCTTTATCTCTACATAAAGATATAGATTTTCATGTTAGAACAATAATTCCATGTAGTAGAGTGCCTTTAAAATTAGTTCTTATTTTCCAGTAACTGAATAATACTCAAACTATGTGGAAGAAATTCCTTTTCTGCATACAGAAAAATAAAACAAAATATTTATAATCCAATCATGGCCTTGCTCCTTCAGAATACAGGGGGACAATACAGATATTGAATCGTGTTGTACATCTGAAACCTATATAATGTTGTGTGTCAATTATACGCAAACAAAAAAATGAAGAATATAGGGTAACATCAAAATTGAATGATCCCATCCCAGTTACAGATATCACTTGTCTAGTATCTACTATGACATAAATGTATTTTTAAAAAAGTAAATATTAAAAAATAGGAAAGAAAACTATGTCTCTTATTAGAGTCTGAATGTTGGACTTAAAGATGTCCAAGAAGAAATAAAGCAACCATTTCTCTTTGTTATGCCCTTCCCAGACTCAAAACTGGCACTGGTATAATTAAGCTGTATAAATAATAATAAAAATTTCTAGATCTGCTTAAAATGCATACATATGAAATGCTATTGATAATTCCTTTATAAAGGAATGAATACTAAAATGCTAACAGGTGGCTTAAAAATTTGCCTTTTTATCTCCTAGTTTGTTCTTTAAAAATTGCAATTATCTATGTTTACTCAAAGTATAGACTATTAAGCAGAATAAATAATTTACAAAACTTGTTTTAAAGAATACAATCAATAATGGATGGTCAACGACATCTAAATTTTAATCTCCTGCATTTGTAAAGGGAAGTGTTACCGCATCTCTGCAAATACACTGGCAGACCGTATTTGCTACACATGCACACACCTTGAGACTCTGAGACCCACACGTGGCTGCAGCAGGCACCGTGGCATCTCTGCAGTGACACCCTGGGAGGATCCACTAGTCTGTGCTGTGGTATAAGAAATGATTGCCTAGCGATATTTTACTCCATTTATAAAAATCAAAACCTTAAGCGTGATTTAAAAGACTATCAGTTCCCTTCTAATTAGATTTGCTAGTATTTCTCAGTCTGATTTTAGTAATAATTCTACAGCCTAGTACAAATTATGTCATAATATTAACATTTATACTCTGAGGAGAAAACTGCTTCTGAGCTGTAACACATCAAAATGAAACCGTTTTATGGTGTGCTAACTCTATTGGAAGTATTTTTTAAATGGGCTTAAAGCAAAGAAACTTTCACTATAAATAAAAAATTTATTTGCTTAGAGTCACTGATAAAGTTTTTTAAAGTCTCGTTATTCACATACATGATTAAGGAGTCAGCATGTTACAGCAATCTTAGGGAAAACTTAATTAATTTTAATGAATATTTACCCAGATAAATTCTATAGTGGTACATTCTGTCACACTCCCAAATTTTCCTGGGCCATATAATCTACATTTACAGCAGTTTAAATTGCTTATTATTCCAATAGATCGTATAAACACCTATCAATATACAGCTGAATGACCGAAAAAGCCAGATCAGAGATGTCTTATATTTAAATATGTGGTACTGAGTGTGCTAAAGAACATGTTCCTAGTAATGTCATAAAGATATTTTATTTTCCTTTATAGACTAAATCTAGATCTTTTTTAGAAAATACATTCAAAATAGTGCTGTTTTGCCTCACTGAAAGTACCCCTCACATTTCATTGTTTTAGATGAATTCAAAACTAAATTGCTGTTATATTTTATTTTAAACCTCAACCTCCCTCAAATCATAGAGAAGACAGGCAATGTTTAATATTAGAATCACCCATTTCCTTCTTTAACGTGTCCACATCTATTATGCAGCATCAAAATAAACGTGTGGACGCCACTGTCTACTCTCAGCCACGCCAGGCAGGGAAACACGCGAGGGGACAGCTGGCTTAAGCTGTCCTCAGTGTAAACAGTCTGAATGTAGCCTCGCTGAAGAATTCATCAACCTTGAAAGGACAGATTTCAAAAACTGGAACAAAATTACATACTTGAATAAAATAACACAAGATTAAAATTGACATTGTACCATAGTGGTAAACAACTGAAGAATTCTGCAAAATATGTGAAAAGGTAGAAAAATAATACATTTATAAAAACATATCCAAGGATATACAGGTAAAAAAATCTTGAAAACCTACAGATACAACAAAGAACCTAATCAACAAAATTTCAAATCCTTAATTCTAAAAGCAGTAAAACGAGAGCAGACCAACTATATGTCTAAACGTCTCAGCAGACATGGAAACCAAAGAAAATCCCTTGATACTGATACACAAGTCACCAGACTTCAGCAGAAAAACTTCTCTTCAAGAGCTTTCTTGAACTTATAAAGCCTATATTTAGGTAAATTATCTGTCTATCTAATCTCTCTGAATCGATGATCCCCATAGGCATGGGCATAGTGGACTAGAAGCAACATTAATCACAATTCCCCATCTCAGGATTAGGGTCTCCCGCATACCTCCAGATATCCCTTTTGAATGCATATCAGGCTAGTGAGAAAACAGACCAATCTATTTGTTCAGAACAGGAATGTTTTAATACAGCCTCCCAACCGACACATCAGTTTTAAGATGAACTTGTGATAGACCCTCTATAGTTAATTTACACTTTGCCCCTTATGTTCGATGGCCCTAATAGGCAGTAGAAATGTGGTGTACTACTTTATACTTCAGCTTTTTAATACTATCTGTAAAGATAGATTTTATTTCTATGTTGTGGATAGTATTATATCTGTGAGGTATTCAAATTTCTATAAAAATTTGGGTGTTTTTTGTTTTTGTTTTTTAGTTTATGACAACTATTGTTTTTATGATACTATTTTTGAGAGAGGCAAGGAATTTCCAACTTGAGTTCAACAATTATAACAACAACAACAACAACAAAAAACCAGAAGAGGAATTATTTGTTTCACATTCAAATTATAACTAGTGGCTAACTTTGGCTGTAAAAGCATTTCTAAAGGGAGAGCTCAAGTCTTTACATGATTAAGATTCTCTTGGGGAGCTGGAGGGAGGTTATTCGAGGAAACTAGGTACCATATTACCAACAATATGTACTATCATCATTATCACCAAAAGGAAAATATAACCTATGCTATTTTTATACTTAAACCATGCCTATATTAAATACCTATGAATCTACTAAAAGCAAACATCACATACTGTATTTTTCACTTTCATAAACTACAGTACTTAATTAGGGTTAAAGCCACCCCAATTAATAAACTCACTTCAAGAAAACTGGGCTGGAGAGGAATATCTAATACTATGCAACATGTTCTAAATAACAACTTCAGCCTCTGAAAATCAAATTATACTTTTACAAATAATCACTGCACATTCATTATTGCTTTCTTCTCTTTTCTATGATGGATATTCATAAAAGTAGTCCAGAAATAGAGACTAAGTATTACCTTTCCCTGAGAGAAGCTCGATTTAACACAGGGCTTGGAGGGTGCTTCAGCAATGTTGAGGGTGCCGAATGAACAAGTAAGGTCCTCGCTGAATGCTGGGGCTTGCTACATGACCTTGGGCTCAAATACTCATCACATCTTTCCAAAGAGTCATCGTAGTCTCTTCCATGGGGGGTCCTGATAACCTGATTAAGAAAGTATATATGTATGCACATAATATATATAATACAGTACACACACATACACACACCCTTTGTTAAAGTCAAAAAATATAACACCACAGTTATATTTTAAAGTACATTTTAGAATGTAGCAATCAATCTTACTATCAAAGTAAACATTAAATGTATCTGGGTTGTTCATTCCACAAGTCTAAAATTGATAAAGTTCTATCAACTCCCTGGGCTTCTGAGGAGGGGTGAAGTAAAGGTAGGGGTATATTTATAAAACAAAAGAAAAATACATTTAAATAGTAGCCTAGTTTAGCCCCCACACAGAATTCTAGCCCTAATTCTACTCCTTTATTGCTTCATTTGTTCTGGGGACAGACAAATGAATAAACCAGAATAGACAAATTCATAAATCCCTGCCCTTGCAGAAAAATTACATTCTAATAAGGAGAAATAGATTTAAACACAAACACACACACACACCAAGGCCACTAGATAAAAATATACAGTGTGTTAAAGGATGACAAATACCATGAGAAGAAAAGAAGTAAGGAAAGGAGAGAAGTCCTGATGGTTGCGGTGGGAGGGGTGCCTTGGGAAGAAGCTGTTCATTTCAAACAGGACAGTAAATGAGGACTGCATACATCAGAGAATGTCTTGGTAAAGACCTAAGGAGTAAAGGCCTGAAAACCTTATAAAAACCACAAGACCTAAATCCTGGGGATGTCTGTGGGAAGAACATTCAAGAAAGAGAAAAAAATAAAGGCAAAGATCCTAAAGGTTGGAGTGGGGCATGCCTGATATATTAAAAACAGCAAAGAAGACAGCAGGGCTGGCTAAATAGTAGGAGATGAGGTCAAGGGTAGATTCTAAGGACTTAGGCTTCTATTCTGAGCAGGAGAATTATGCTCCTTTTTAAAAAATAAGATCTCCTTGGCCACTATGTTAAGAACAGTCCATAGAGGGGCTAAGGGAAATCAGCTAGAAAAGTATCACAACAAATATCAAAATAGAGGAAAGGAGGCTGGCTTGGGTCAGAGGGATAGCTTGGAGGTGAAAAGTGATCAGGTTCAGATGGCATTTTGAAGATAGAGCCAACAGGATTTGCTAATGGACTGGCTGTCAAAGATAACACCAACCTCTTCCAGCCCAATCAACTGGAAGACTTGAGTTCATATGAATTAGGTACAATGTTTCAACTGGAAGGGTAGAACAGTGAGATATAAGGAGATGGGTTTTGGACATATTTAGCTTTACCCATCTATTAATCTATTAATCAGCCAACATATTAGAGGGGTGTTCAGGGGAAGAGTCCAGGATAAAGATATAAATAGTATTTAAAGATATGACACTAGGTGATACCACCAAAGAGTGCGAGTAAATCGAAAGAAGAAAACACCTGAAGACTGAGCTTTGGGAACACTCCACCACTGAGAGGCTGGGAAGGTGAAAAGGAAACACACTAAAGAGTGACCAGGGAAGAAGGGGAAAAAATAGGAGAGTTGTTGTTCTGGAAGGCAATTAAAAAATGTATTTCAGGAAAGGGAAGTACCTGGGTCAAAAACTGCTGATGCATCAAGTTAGAAAAGACCGAGAATGCACCTTCAGATTTTGGCAATAGGAAGGTCATGAGTGACATCAACAAGTGTAGTTTTGATGTCCTGATGTCAGTGATCATCTGGAGTTGAGTTCAACAGTGAATGAGAGGAGGAATTGCATTTATTTAACAGTTAACTAACTTCCAGGCACTGCACTAAGTGTTGGGACTATACACTAGCAGTATTATTTCCTAAATATTTTATCTTTAAGAAGGTCAGTTTGACCTTTAAAAAAGCTACCTAATCTTTCACACTCATTTTCCTCATATGTAAAATAGGGTTAATAATAGCTAATTTGTTGATTTTCCAGTTTGTTTATTAAAGTATCTTACAGAATGCCTAGGTGTTTTAATCAGTTATTCAATAAATATAAGTAATTTATTACTAAAAAGCCAGTCGAACACAGCTTTTTGATTCAACACTACCACATTTTACACTGATTTCCAGAATTACAGCAACATATGACGAGTCAACAGTCAGCTGAGAGAATCAAGTTTTCATCCCAGAACCAAATAGCATGTAATTCAAATGACTCAGTTACAGTCCCAAATAACTGACTGAGAAATATGTGATCCAGATTGCATAAAAGAAAAGAAAAATTCCTCCACTGTTAACTGTTCAGAGACAAAAAGCAAAAACAGTAAATGTCAAAAACAAATCAAAGAGGTCCATGGTCAACAAATGTAAGTACATATATTACGATATTAAGAGACTGATAGGAAAGGGGAAAAAATGTTGTTATAATGCTGTTTCTACAATTATGTCCAGATACGAGCCACTTGGCTTATATTAGATAGATTATTTTCTCCTTATTAATTTCAGTGCCAGTTGAGTCATGTTGGCTGGCAGATGACTTCATTTTTTAATTTACTAAATTTTCTCCCCAAACTAGTCAGCAGTACTTTAAATAAAGCCCCTTCTAGGTGATTAGAAGTTTTTCTCTATTTATCAGAACATTCACTGAGAACCTCTTGAACAACATGTTAGTGAATACTCAGATCTAGAGAGATACAGGGATTTAAATTCACAATCCAGATGAGACAGGGAGCAAACGAAAGATAACTGGGAATGAGATAAGCCATAATGACAATATACCCTAATGACAATAACTGCAGAAGGAAATTCAAAGACTTCTAGTGAACTGAATGGTGGAGGTCTCCCAGAGGAGGCAAGACTGCAAGACCTTAAGTAGAGAAAGGGCATTCAAAATAGGGGGAAAGGCACAAGAACAGATCAACAATGACTACAATCACTTGGCTCTCTTTATAGAAAAGTAAAATGAGAGAATACAATAGATAGAAAGAAGAGAACATTGTAGAGAACCTTAAATGCTCTAACTCAATACTATTCAACATTTACTAAGCATCTTCTACATACTGTATAAAGTACTATTGAACAAGGTAGGAGAAAGCAGTTACTGATAAATTTAACAGGAGCCCTCAAAGATGTTACAATCCTGAATAGGGAACATGATAAAACAATAAGGAATGTAATTAGAACTAAATACACATATAATACGTAAGTGTGCAATGGGAACACAGCTGGGATGTATTCTTTCCAGAGAATTAGAGAAAACATTTGTTTCAGAAAGTGTTATATCTAAATGGGGGGCTAAGAAATATAATAAGTCTCTGATAAGAATCCACTTTGAACTTTCAACTTTAAGCCATAGCTTCATAAAAAAAGGGGGGACATGTAAGTAATAATGCAACAATAAAGATTTTTTTAAAGAAGTTTCCATAGCTCTTGTGAGTTTTCCATAGGTTACTTATTCACTTCCAAAAACCAAATGGAATATTATCTCTTTGGTTCATTACAGAAGTGCTTCAATTCTTGGATAATTCCTCAACAACACTGGCTTAGAGTCTAAAGACGTGTGTTCAAATCCCTCCTAGTATGTGACTCTAAGCAAGTCATTTACTCTAAATTTTAGTTTCCATCTATAAGCTGAGGAAATAACCTTGTAAGTTTGTCACAAATATAAATGAAATAAAATTAGTGAAAACACAAAGTAGAGGGCTTGACTTAGGAAAGAATAATAATATTTATTTCCTTTGTTTATAGAAATCTTCATATATCAGTATAAAAAGGTTGTTTTTATAGTTATGAAAATAGTTATTTAAATGCCTTTGCTATGACCACAGAAATGTAACAATTGTGACATTGAAAATATTGGAAAGTATCAAGAAAAAAAAACTAATATTTTAAATCAATCTGAAACTGTTACAGGTAGAAAAGAAAACATCATATGCTAAATTCATTGCAATTACATAAATGTAATGTGATTATGTAAATGACGTTTTTAAATCTGCGTTATAGTGTTATATAATAGTTTAGTTATACTTACAAGATTCCTGAAAAGTTGCTTATATAATCAATTAATAAGTTAAATCATAAACATGATACTGTATAAACAGAATCTTAAAGATTCCACCAAAAACCAAATAGAACTGATACATGAATTCAGTAAAGTAGCAGGATACAAAATAAATATCCAAAAATCAGTTGCATTTCTATACACTAATAATGAACTATTAGAAAGGAAAATTAAGAAAATAATCCCACTCAGAATTGCTTCAAAAAGAATAAAATACCTAGAAATAAATTTAACCAAGGATGTAAAAGACCTGTACTCAGAAAATTATAAGACACTGTGGGAAGAAACTGAAGAAGATACAAACAAGTGGAAGAATATACAGAGTTCATGGATTGGAAGAATTAACATCATTAAAATGCCCATACTACCCAAAGCAATATACAGATTCAATGCAATTCTTATCAAGATAGCAATAGCAATTTTGAGAAAGAAGAACAAAGTTGGAGGAATGACACTACCTGACATCAAACTATACTATAAGGCATTGTACTCAAAACAGCATGGTACTGGTATAAAAGACATATGGATCAATGGAACAGAATAAAGAGCCCAAAAATAAACTTATGCCTTTACAGTTAATATGTGACAAACAAGGCAAAAACATACAATGGGCTAGACAGTTTATTCAATAAATAATGTTGGGAAAGTTGGAGAGATACGTGAAAAAAATATGAACCTAGACATCTTCTTATGCCATGTACAAGAATAAACTCAAAATGGATTAAAGACTTCAATATTAGACTAGAAACCATAACAATCCTAGGAGAAAACATAGGCAGTAAAATCTGGGACATTTCTTGTAGCAATATTTTTTCTGATATATTTCCTTGGGCAAGGTAAAACAAAAGAAAAAAATAAACAAATGAGACTACATCAAACTAAACAGTTTTTGCACAGCAAAGGAAACCATCAACAAAATGTAAAGACAATCCACTGAATAGAAGAACATATTTGCTGATACATCTGATAAGGGGTTAATATCCAAAATGTATAAAGAACTTATAAAATTCAACATGAAAAACACAAACAATCCAATTAAA